TATTAGGTTTGAGGTTTGAGCTAGAAGACACATCTTTAAAGTTTAATTAGAATGGTGTGTTTGCCTCATATGATATTTAAAAACAAACAAAAACATATAAGCTATTCCTGTTGAGTCTATTCCAGCACATAGCAAGTTTATAGAACAACGTTGAACCGCCCGTAGAGTATCCAAGGCTGTGAATCTTTATGAAAGGGAACCGCCACATCTTTCTCCCATGGAGAAGTTGGTGGGTTTGAACCAGCAGCCTTTTGGTTAGCAGCCAAGCACTTGATTCGCCGTTCCACCATCAGGGTTTTCATTTGATATGAGGAAATTCAAAATAGCTATTAATTACCTATAAGATTTTCTTACTAAATCCCCTTCCAGGAGCTGCAAAGAGACTAAAGTGGCTTCCTGACACACTCATCATTGTGAGCAATCTTTACGTAAATTTCAGAAGGGCAGACAAGGTCACAGTCTTCCCTGTAGAAGGACAACCTCTCAACAACAGGATATGTCATTCCTATAGGAATATCTGTCCTTGGAAACTGTCTATATGAAGACATGTCTTCTATTGTTGTTATTAAGTGCCGACCCATAGCAACCTTGTATAGGGTTTTCAAAGATTGGCTGGTGAGCTTGAACCACCAAAGTTGCCATTCAAACCCACTTTATAGTCCAATGCATTAACCCACAGTGCTTACATAGGGGGTATTATTTTTTCTCATCCCTTCCATCCAGCTCACCCACTCCACAAATATGCATACACTGTAAACAGAGTTGTTTGGCACCATAAATATGTCCACATATCCTCAATGAAACTCCAGACATTATGCAAGTATGTGCACACATAGTCAAGTATGTTTCCTATTGTTGTTGATAGCTGCTATGGAGCCAGTCCCTGCCTTGTGGTGACCTCATGCATAATAGAGTGAAATGAGACACACAAACATACACGCAGGAAATGCGATGGGGGTAGGGAAGTATTCAGGAGCAAAGTCATGGGGGTTCTTAATGTAATTTAGTTATTGAAATCACTGTCTGATCCCATGCCATTCGCATGCTTGGTTGTAGATTATACCCTTGTGATCTATAGGGTTTATGCTGGTAGATTTTCAGAAGCAGACCTTTCTTCTCAGTTGCTGTTAGGTACTGTTGAATTAGTTCTCATTCATAGCAATCCTATGTACAACAGAGCAAAACACAGCCCAGATAGCACCACCCTCACAATGTTGGTTCTGTTTGAGCTCACTGTCGCCACCACTGTGCCAATCCATCTCATGAAGGGTTGTCTTCATCTCACTGACCCTAAACTTTACCAAGTATGATACCCTTTCTTCTTAGTCTATCTTCACCTTAAAGCTTCACTTAAACCTGTTCAACATCTTAGCAGCTTCTAAGTCTCCACTGACAGACAGTGAGCTCTACTGGCTGGGAACTGAACCTGGTTCTTCCATATGGAAAGAGAGACTTCTACCACCAAGTCACCTGTGCACGTATGCATACATACACATACACACATTTCTCTTTTTAGGCACGAACATTGCCCCCTTGATTTCTGACGCTCCATAGTAATAAGGTAGAAGTTGCAAGTAATCTGAAGATGTTACAAAAAAGCCCTTGACAACCTCCTGTCTAGAACTAGCAGCAAGACTCACAGAAGGATGGATTTCTCAGGCTCAGAGTCCGAGGAGCAGTGAACGATACAAAGCTCAACAATAGGAGTGACCATCTTTGTAGACCAGGAAGGGGGACCACAAGCAGGCCAAAAGGGATTTTCACCCTGACAAATGGCCTCCACTCTAGAGGAGAACAAGCAAGCCCTCTCCTGCTCAATCCCCTGTTGTCACATACTCTCTTGACTTTGCCAACTTTTTATTCCTCAAGATAAACCTGAAGGCCAAGCTGTCGGAGATGAATGACAAAGTGAAGCTCTCTGCTCAAGTGGCATTTGATAATGCCAAGCAGTCAGGGGCCAATAAAGTCACTACTTCTGCAAATCAAATGAACCAGTTCCTCAACATACATTACCCCGTTCCCATACCCTTGCCCCAAAGGGAGAGGGCAGAAAGGAAAGTGAGCAATGTAATTTCCTGAGTTGGTAACATTTTTATTCCTTCTGTACTTATTCTAACCCTCTAGAGTGGTGAATGACTAAGGTGAAGTTCATTCCTCATTCCTGGGCATGATGAACCTCCGTGTGCTCAGGCTTGTGGGAGGCAAGGCCGGAATGACTATGAAAATTCTGATTTATGAAATCCAATTTTTAAACAACTGGCAGGTTCGTTGTTGTTAGGTATGTTACAGCTTCTAGAGCATATGCAAAACCAACATGGGCTTCCCCTGTTGAGAAGCTCTTATGGAGTATGGCTAGTGAATAACTCAATATTATATGCAATTAACACACACCATTGTTGAGCGGTAGCATGCCATTGGAGTTTATGCCTCCCACATTTGTTAAGGATTGACAATGTACAAGAAACGGTTTGGGCTGCTGTTAATTACGCAAATGTGGCATGTTTTCCTAAGTAGTTCAAAGTATTCCTCCCAGCAATTCATTTGTATCATGTATTTGCTTACCAAACCTTCCATTCCAATAGTACAAAGCTGGCCCAACTCTAAATTGTCCCAGATGCCAAATCAGCAGGTACAGACTAATGAAGTCTGACTGTTTTCAAAAAACCAGCGCAAAATGTCATATCCTCTTGATTGAAACCCAACTTTTGAATTGATAAATTCAGAGCTATTTGTTGAATGTTTGAAATCAGACATGTTTAATTGTGATTCCCACTCTCGGTGACCTTAATCACTTAAATTTTGTCTGCTCCTCAGTTTCCTCACCCTTATAATGGGATTGATTAAATGATATTTGTTGTGGAGTTCAGTTTTGACTCACAGTGATCCTGTATAGGGTTTCTGAAGCTGTAAAATATTTACAAGAGCAGAAAGCTTCATCTTTCTTTTGAGGAAAGTTTTGAACTGCTGACCTTGAGGTTAGCAGCTCAACTCATAACCACTCTGCTACCAGAGCTCCTTATAAAGGGAGTAGCATATTATTAACATTAAGCACAATGTTTGATGCATGGCAAGAATTGAAAAGATAGCAGCTATTCCTCTATTGTGCTTAACAGTTTTTATTCCATGATATAAAGAGCCTGGATTAAGTTAAATGGATTTAAATATGCTTGGTAACTTTTCACTTATTTTTCTCTGTGTGTTCCAAAATCCAATTGATAAAACCTTTCACTTAGTCATCGTCAAAAATGGCTTAACAATGCCTGCATCTCATGGCTATCAGGAGGATTAAACAAGATGCTGTATAAGTCGTTCTAGAATGCAATACTCAACGTATCTCAGCTTCTTTCCTTTCCGCCCCCTGGTTTTTCTGGGTTATAATAATTCCAAGCAGGATCAAATATTCATGAAGTATTTGATAAACACTAAAATAAAACACCTGGAAAATATAGTGCACAGTTACTGATGTGTTATTTCATCATTTTGACAACTTACCAATTATAAAGACTTTCCTAACACATAGAAGAGAGGGGATGATTCTATTTTCAGAACCAAATAATTAATAAGGGCTATTTTTGTAGGGACCATGGGTTTATAGGAATGGCACAGCAGTTATTTGACAGTTGAGGGAGACCACTATTTCTTTAAGTTTAAAATTTTTCTCTTTTGTTAAGTGTATTTTGGTGGCTGTAGACGAGCTATCTTTTACAGAAAAAAAGGCACTAATAATTAAATCAGGCTGTTTACTACTACAAGGAGCTCTGGTAGCATAGAGGTTACGAATCGGGCTGCCAACCTTAAGGTTGGCAGTTCAAAACTACACGCTGTTCTGTGGGAGAAAGATGAGACTCTCTGCTCCCATAAAGATTTACAGCCTCGGAAACCCTGTGCAGGGTCACTATGAGTCAGAACCGACTCCGCGGCACTTAACAACAACAACTACTACTTACTATCTTATATTGGAGTCCTGGTGTGCTGTAGGAGAAGCACAGGACTGGTAACCTCGAGGTTGGCAGTTCAAAACTTCCAAACTGACCCTGTACAGAGTCACTGAGCCAGAACTGACTTGACGGCACTTAACAAGAGCAACATCAATTCCCTACATTAAGGAGTCTTGGTGGCACAGTGGTTAAGGTCTCAGCTGCTAACTGGAAGGTCAGAAGTTTAGACCCACTAGCTTATGTGTTGGGCTAATAACCATAAAGTCAGCAGTTCGAATCCACCAGCCACTCAGGAAGCATGATAAGGTTTTCTACACTTGTACAGATTCACAGCCTTGGGAATCATATACAGGCTTGCCATGAGTCAGAACAGACTCAGTGACACACAGCACACCAATAGAGCTTCTTCTGGGAAAAAGATGTGACAATGTGCTGCCATGAATGTACAGGCTTGGAAACCCTTGTGGGGAGTTCTGTTCTGTTTTGTAGGATTACTAGGAGTTGGAATCAACTGGATGGCGATGGATATTTTGATAGCTATTTAACATTTTTGAGGAGTTCTGGTAGCGTAGTGGTTACGAATCGGGCTGCGAACCGCTAGGTCAGCAGTTCGAAACTGCCAGCTGTCCTGCGGGAGAAAGATGAGACTTTCTGCTCCCTGTAAAGATTTACAGCCTTGGAAACCTTGTACAGGGTCGCTATGTGTTGGAACCGACTCCACGGCACACAACAACAACATTTAGCATTTTTAGTACACCAAAGTTGAAACACTACAGTGTTTCCGGTGACAACTACAGACAGGTTTCTTCCTTGTGGGCTTCTATTGAACCTGTGTGATGACTTTCTCATCCCCCATAACCTGAGGGGCACCAATCTCTTGCTTTCTGTCCCACAGTCCTGGGTATCATTTTACCTAATGGTTACCTTCTCTCTCTCTGTCCACATTCTCTCTTCCTCAAGTCAGGTGCTCTCAGCTGAATTTGACAGCCTGTTTTGTTTTAAACTAAACAGATATTCCCTTCTCAAATTGATGTATTTTTCAGCCATGTCAATTTTTCCCAGGTAGCAGGGATAAAGGGAATGTTCTTGGCTAACAAGAAGATTGACAACCAAGTGAAGACTTTCATCACATATAACAAAGGCAGAGACTGGCGTTTGCTGCAGGCACCAGACACAGATCTGAGAGGGGACCCCGTGCACTGCTTGCTGGTAAGTTTTCATATCAGAGCAGAACATCTCATGTAGTGGGAGGCTGGAAAGTAGGTGTTAAATAAGCAAATGAAGATTGCTTGGGGGCTTCTTGAGCAAAAGATGGCAGGGAAGGACATGGGGACAGAGCATGGTAGGGAGTCTCAAACGTCATTTCAGGATAGGTCAAAGAGATCAGAGCACATGAGTGCCGTAGCTCCCTCGTGCTGTTCTGACAGAAATTCCACAAGTGGATGGCTTCAACAAACAGACATTTATTTTCTCACAGTGTATGAGGCCAGAAGTCCGAATTCAGAGCACAAGCTTTGGACAAAGGGCCTTGTCTCACTTCAGCATCTGTGGGCCCAGCATTCCTGCGAGTCCTCTATGTGTCTTGGCACCAGTCTTCTGCCAGATCTAGGAATGTCACAGTACAGGGACCAAAGGGTGCACTCTACTTCCAGCTCCACTTTCTTTCCTGGTGGCAGTGGGTCCGTCCCTCGATCTCTTCTCACTTCTCTGGTTTTTTGTACTCAGAACAGATTGACTCTAGATACAACCTAACCCTGTAGATTGCATCTGGCCCCATGAGCATCCCAGAAGTGAGGGTTTACAATCACAGGATAATCACTTCAGATCAGAGCTGATCACATCAGATTGCATCATGGAGGTACTTGCATCATATTAGATCTCATCATGGAGGTGATAACTACATCTTCACTGCTAAACCACTGAGAATCCTAGCCCAGCCAAGTTGACGCAAAAACCTTAGTTATCACTATGAGTAAGCGTCTACTCAGGTCCAGAAACCTCTGTCCCAACCTGAGTTCTGAGAAGGACCTCAAATGACAGTTTGAGGAAGGATATGATAGTTTCCATATAGGGTAAGGCTTTGGTCCAAACACCCTGACTTTCCCATAAGGTACTTGTTACATATGTAATGGTATGTGAACTCACCTGTCGAGTTGAACTGAATGCTGAATTGGGTAGGGACATATTCCGTTGTAGTTGTTGTTAGGTGTCATCAAGTCGAATCCATTTGAGACATTTAATTACAGTTTTAGAGGCGATCATAATTCATAAAAAGGATAAGAACCACTGATCTAAACATATATTGGTACTGTTTATAACAATTTTATTCACTTATATTTCATTCTCCAAACAAGTGGTTGGTAAACTATGACCTTTGAAGCCAGTCAGGTCCACTTGTTTGTAAATATCAGTGGGACACAGTCCCACTTATTCATCCATGTGCTGAGGGTGGCTTAGTGCTGCATTGGCAGAGCTGAATGCTCTTCATAGAGACACTGTGGTTCTCAAAGTCTAACATAGTTAATATTTGGTCCCTTACAGAGACCGCTACAAAGGCCCCTTGAACAACATAGATTTGAAGGACATGAGTTTGAAGGATTTCTTTTTTTCCTGCTACTACAGTGAGCCCAAGGGCTGGGAATATTCAATTAAAATGCCATGTGGCATGGCAGGAAAAAAAAAAGTTGCATGTAAGTGGTCCCATGCAGTTCAAACTTATGTGGGTCAAAGTTAAATTATATGCAACTGTTCCACTGTGTGGGAAATCTGTGTCCCTAACCCGATATTGTTCAAGGGTCAACTGTACTGGTATGTGTCCTTCCATCAGTTGCCTTTCTTGGGGGACCATAAGTAGATTCAGCAGGAATTTAGTCTCATATTTGACTAAATTAATGAGGTCCAAAAGCGGTTAAAGGTGGTTCTTGCCTTCAAGGAGTTTGCTTTCTATTCGAGTGAGATTAGTTTAATACATGAAAGACTATAGGCTTACATCTCAGTGCTCTTTGTAACATTGGTGTCTGCTGTAGACGTGACACATAGGTACCAAGTAAATGCAGAGGACTGGAGGATACGATTGATTTCAATAATAATAATGACGATGATAATAATAATAAATGCTAGAAACCAATCCAAAAGTTATGCTTATATTCTAACAAAGAAGAGACAAGTATGTTATCCTAAAGGGGTTGTTGTTAGGTGCCATCGAGTCAGTACCTACCCATAGTGAACTTATGCACAGCAGAACAATACACTGCCCAATCCTGGGCCAACCTCACTACTGTTGCCACGCTTGAGTCCATCAATGCTGCCACTTGGCCAGTCCATCTCGTTGGGGTCTTCCTCTTTTTCTCTGACCCTGCACCTTACCAAACATGATATCCTTCTGCAGCGACTGGTCCCTCCTGATAATATGTCCGAAGTATGAGAGACGGAGTTTGGCCATCTTGGCCTCTAAGGAGCACTGTGGCTGCACTTCTTCCAAAACGGATCTATTGGTTCTTTTGACAGCCTATGGCACTTTCAATATTCTCCTCCAGCACCATAAGTCAAAGGCATCAATTCTTCTACGGACTTCCTTATTCATTTAGCATACAGGACTTGGCATATGTACATATATCTGTATTCACATGCTTGATACACTCCAGACTGGGGTGGTGTTCACATGCAGCTTGTTTCCTGCCATCCCACAAGGCCTGGACTGTCACTTTGCAGACTCATCTCACACAGCAGTAGGCGGCTGACCCTCTTACTGGAGAAGCTGCCAGGAGCCATAGTTTGACCTTATTAGTAGCAGAGGATATCACAGTTGTCATTGTGCATCAATCTAAAATTCAGTCTTTTTCTCAGCTTCCATCCTGATTAGTGGCAACTTACAGGGCGGAAAGCCAGTTGCTACTGTAAGGACGTAGAGCTGGTGACCGAGTTAGTGAAAGTAGCAGTTATTTATTGAATACCTACTTTATACAAGGCACAATTCAGCGGTGTTTTTAAAAGCAGGCCACATGCCTAGTTAAGCTACCCCTAGCTGGAACATTACGCTATTCAGCCCAAGATGCTTAAGAGGCACAAGTGCCTTCATGGGGTCCTTTGTGCACTATTGACATTGCATGTCTAGGAGAGAACTAACTACGCCACCTAAAGAGGTTTGCCTGGAAACTCTAGCATAATAAACACATGGTTAGATATGACTTTGGCACTGAGTACTTAGCAAGGTGTTGCCTGCTTTAGCTACCACCTTTGGTCAGGAAGTACTATAGGATCAGCACTAGACTGAGAACCACCAGGTTGGAAGTTCAAACCCACAGCTGCTCCTCAAAACCCTATACAGAGTCGCTATGAGTTGGAACTGACTTGACAACACTGAACAACAATGACAAATAACAAAAAATAAATGTGTTACCTGGTTACCTGCCTATCTTCACTATGATCACTCTACTCAGACCACCATCGTTTCCCACCTGCCCTCCAGCAGTGGGTTCTTTTTTCCTTTTTAAGTTTGTATTTTGAATTGAGTGATTCATTTACATGAAGGAACAGCAGTTTTACACTCACGGTTTCATTATAATGATTACAATCTCCTCTGTGTATCATCATTCAATAGTATTTGCTTCTATTCCCTCTGTTTGTTTTGCTTTGTTTTGGTGGGGGATGAACACAAAATCACTCAGGAATATATAATCATTTAAACAACCAAAGGCCACATTCTGCAAGCCTGCCTCCTGGCTGGCAACACACAGCCTTTCTCTTTACCTGAGTCTAGAATCCTCAGCTGCTCTCTCTTTCCATACTGTTATCTCTGCTTCCATCTCTGGTGTCACTGCTTCTCTGGATAGGGTCCCACACTCTGCTCCTGCTCTTCTCCTTTGATGGTCCTAGAGTTCTCTGTTCCTGAATTGTAAGATTAACTACTCCCCTCTTTTTGTTACAAAACTTCTACCTAACAGCTGTGACAGTTGCAATTAGTCATAATAACAATTACTTACCATTGAATCATAAGAATCTTATCCCCATCTCCTTTCAACAGACCCATCTAGATAAGATGAAAACAATTTAGTGGGGATTCTACCTCCACCCCCCCACCAGCAATGGGTCTTAACTGGCCCACCTGTCTACTGTAAAGTAGTCCAGTCTCTATGCAGCAGCCAATGGGATCTCTCTTTTAAATCAACATTTTTGAGCTGAAATATCTGTAAATGTACCCATTTTAAGAGTGATGAACTTTGACAAATATATTCACCTGTAACCATTTTTAACATTCTAAAGGGAACATTTTCATCACCGTAAAAAGTTCACTTGTACTCCTTGGTAGTCAGTACCCATGCTCCTGGTCTTACACAATCATCCGCTGATCTGCCTTTCTTCACTTACAGCATTTTCTCTTTCCTCAAATGTTACATAAATGGGCTTGAGAACATTCATGTGCCTCACTTACGTAGACCTTCTGATGACATTATAACCCACATAGAATAACATTCACATACTTTACCGTGTCTGCAAGTTACCATGTGATCTGGCTCTATCTTCTTCTGGTGTATAAACAAGGAGAAAATCTGGGGCCTTCATTACACATTGTAACCTTACCATGCACATATATTCCTCAAGCTCTTTCACTTGGACACTATTTCTGTTGAAATGCTTTCCCCACTCTGGATTTTTCTGAGCTTTCAGCTGTTTGCTTGATTACCTTGTCCTTTTTCCCTCAACTCTTTTTGCTTCATGGCCCTTAGCGCTTGCTGAAATCATCACATATGTTTGTTAGCTGTCGTCTATATCTTCCACTGATTGAATGTAAACTCTATGACCATGTGGACAGTGGCTGCCATTTTGGTCACTGTATGACCAGCTCCAGTAATTCTACCTGGCAGGTGGTAGGTGCAACACACCTGTTGTTTTGGAAGTTGTGTTTGTTTGGCGTACATGTTCCACTGACATGTGTTGTTTCAGTTGGACATGGGACATCAGTAGAAGCCTTCCCTTCCCACTAGTAATCTTACTATAGGATTTATCATCATATCCACCTGCTGAAGTTCATGGGCTTAGATTGGCCCCAAAGTTAACAGAATCAGTAGGCTCAATAAGATTGGAGAAAAATGAGTTAATGGGATATAGATGAATGGTGCCCAGGAGTCTTCCAGTCTTCCTCTCTCATTAACCCTGTTCCTTAATGTAGTTCCAATCTGAGCTTTAGAAATTGGGCTGCAGGGCAAAGA